AAACCCTCAGTCTTAGAAAAAGTTAGTTAAAGCATTTTATATTTGGTAAAGGTACAAGAAACTAAACAAAAGAAGAGCCCTAGAGTGAGGCATGTCAGGCAATCTTAACTGCAAACTTTATAATAGCTGTAGTATATAGAAGGCCTGATCAGAGATAGGTGCTCTACAAACATATAGGAAAGAACTTATAGTCTAGCTTAACAACAAGACACAGCAGATGATATAACAGAAGAACTGCCATTTACTGGGTCAGGCCATAGGTCCATCTTGCCCACCCTCCTGTGTTACACAGTGGCAGAGAGTGGATGGTGAAAGGGAGTGAACTGGGTATGACCAGGGTTTTTTCTACTGTTCTTCTCTCTCTAGCAGCCTCCAGCATTTAAGGACAAAATGTGGCAGGGCTGATGGTGGAGGTAGCAATGATAGAAATATGTTTTTGAATAGACTAGCTTTGTACACGAGCACAATGTACCTTACCACCTGCCTAACGGTTCTCAATCGTCACTGTCTGTAGACAGAAGTAAATGGTAAGCAGGGGGCATGTGCCAAGCAGAAGATGACATAAGAACTGATCACTGAAACACTCCTTCACTATTTAACACTACATTCTAAAGACCTGAGTCTCCCACTGAGACCTATGGGAATTCCATGTGGCCCGGAGGCAGCCTGAGCGTGACAGCATAGCAGGAACAGGATGCCATACATGTGCAAAAGGATTTGTGGCTAACTGGAGATTGTGCTTCCACAGCATTTTGGGTTGCAGTGCATATCCCAATGGCATAGTGAGCAAAGGCCTTTGATTGTTTCTTGAGTGGAACCTTTCTGCTCTCTACCCCAACAGCTGTAACACTACAGAACAGGAAAAGGGGAAGTGGGAGAGAACATGTCCAGGGGCCCATGTCTTAAATCCAGGGGTTCTAATGCCAGAAAAAATACATTTGAATTCATTTTCTTTCTTCATGGAGAAGCTGAGATCCCCAACTCAACAATTTTTAAAAGCTATAACTTAACAGTAACTGCGCTGCAACTAAAATCAGTGCTCAAACAAGATCAGGTCTCTAAAACAGACAAACAAACACACGGCATTGAAGGTTATAGTGGTGCTAGCGCCTGCTTAGGGTCATTTTATTGAAGCAAGTGCACAGCTGCATTTTCTTTTAAAATACTGCTGCAGTGTTTTAAGAGAAGGGGGGGAATAATTTAATTTTTGGCAGCAGGGAATATTTCGCAAATCATAGATGCTTTGGCATCAAGCCGCTAACAAAGGCAGGGGCCTTCACTCGCAAGTTTTGCTGGGAGAGATCCACCCACCTCAAGTGGGATTAATTAAAACAGGCATGTATCATGTGAATAGTTTCTGTTTCCTCACAGAAATACTCAGCACACATAACCCAAAACAGGTTGAGAATCAGAGAGAAGTAAAAAAGAGATTTTTCCCCCTACTCCCCCTTCACATTTCTTTCTCAGTACAGTAAATGAGGAACAATAAAGACTGAAAAAAGCTCATGGTTTCTGTAAAACTGCAGCTGCTTTGATTAAATGCTAATAATGTTGAATAAAATCAGGGGTTTTTTGTTTTTGTTTAAGGTAGGGGTCATATATTGCTAATGAGGTGACAAATTCTCCAATCAAACTGTACTCGCAGGCACACATTTATCAGGGTGGTCTAAATACTTCCTCTCAAAATGATTTCAGTTATTGCTTTTTTTAATCTTAAAGCTCAGCAGGGAAGAGAGGAGAAAATGCTTGTGTTGTCCTGTCATGTTACAAGTTTCAGCTCCAAAATAAAGGGTGAAGAGAAGATGGCTTCTTTGAAAGCCTAGAACGACTGACCAAAAAAAAAAAAAAAAGTACAGTATTGTTTTTTTCAAGAAGCTTTCATAGGAATGATGGGTTCTGGCACTTCAAGGAATCGCTGGAGAAAATGGTGGTAAAGCAGACAAAGGAGAAAGCCTAAATATATAAGTAAGCACAGAGAAAGCTCAAGTTTCATCAGGACCTCTTCCTTGAGATTTTGTTTTTTTCCCTCTTAATATCTCAGACCCCTTTTTGGAGCTGATTAACTACATTCCCACTCAGGGTTTTTTTTTATTAAAAACAGACTTTAGCAGAAATTCCAAATCTAGAAGTGAACTTTTAATAGACATAGGAGTCGGACACATTACCCTCTCAGGTGACTTCCCCCTACGGCCCCTGCTCAGGGATTTCCTCTCTTCGAGTTCAGTCAGCAGGATAAACTTGACGTTTCAGCACAAATGTGAACCCTTCCTTTATTCTTAAATGTTTGTGTTTTTTAAATTGAAATACCTTCTCAGCAATAGATAAAAAGAATTATAATTTGGGTCAGAAGATGCACTGTAGATCTTTTTTTTTTTTAAGGTCAAATACTAGGAAGTTCTGTAACAGTAGTATAGATGGTTACACTATTAACAACACTGGCCTCCTTCACCAGCAATTGTGTCCCATGCCACTAAGTGCAGCTATGAGCTTTAAATGATGCCTAAGGAGGCTTCTCTGGGCTAAGACTTACCATCAGGGCTCCACCCAGCTAGCAGCTTATCAGACACAAGATTAAACATGCAACTAAGCCAGGCAGCTCAGGAAAGCAGTATCCATGCAACAAAGCAGGAAAGAGGACACATGCTCATTCTCCAGGAGAGGCAACTAACAATTGCTGGGCCACTATGGTTCCCTCCAGTAGTACAACGGACAAAGCACTGCATCTTGATTCTTCATGCTGTGTGTGCATTAATAGTATAATGGAGACTATGGTGAAGGAGCCACTGATATCATTTTGAAGCTCTCCAGACTGAGGAAATTCAGAGACACTATTCTACTTATGGTGCTTAACACCTAAAGAAGCAATAGTGTGTTTCACCTCAATGGTCTAATATTTATCAGTACCTTGAGATAACATAGAGTGTACATTGGCATGACAGAGCGCATTTCATGTGTGGCAAATGATGCATTGCCTTTTCAATGGTAAAAAATACAGAAATGTTTCCTATCACTTTATGTAGTTGATCTGTTTCTTTTGGGTTAGAACAATTATATTTGAAGGTAGAGTTATGTAACTGGAAACCATAACTGATTTGACAGATTTAAATGAAAGCATTTCAGTAGCTTTTAATCCATAGTGTCAGGTATCCAGAGTGTAGTCGTATTGATCTAGAGGCAAAAGGAATCAGAACTTGGGGTAGAGGTGATATCTTTTATTAAACCAACTAGATGTTTGCACACAAAAAAAATAATCCTTTTTTTGCAAAATAAATGTCTTTAATGTGCCTGAAATCTTGCAATTAAAGACTTTTTTTTCCTTTTTGCAAACATGTAGTCAGTCTAATAAAAGATATCACCTCTACGCCAAGTTCTGATTCCTTAATCCATACATGAAGTTTACTTTAAATGACTATTTTAAAAATTGAAAAACTGAATAGTTACTTTGATGTGTCTATGTGTAATCTGCTTAAATTGTCATTATTGGTATTTTTAAATCTTATGAAAAACAGAGTCCCCCAGGTATCACCAAGGGGTTTAAACTAGGGATGTGAAAAGTTAAATGTTTAAATGATAGGTACATTTATACTGGTAATGCATTACCAGTTAACGTATGGTGTGGGGCGCAGTCTGGCAGGGAAGGGAAGTGGCGCAGTGCTTCAGGGACAGGAAGGTGGCAGGGCAGGCAGGAGGGAGGGAGGAGCAAGGAGTGGGGGTGAGGGGAGACAGGAGGGAGAACTAGTACCCATAGCCTATGAGGTTAAAGAGGAAACCAGCAGGTGGCCTAATGACTCATCATCAATTAAGCAATTATCTGCTTGTTCACAGGTGCTCCCTCCCTTCCAGAGGTGCCAGCAGCTGCAGTGGGCTAGGAAAGTCTCATACCAGCTGCTGCCCCCTGCAGCTTCACATGAGCTGTGCTATCTGGAAGGGCCTGCCACTGCCACTGCCACTGTCACCCCCCTTCCCCCCCACAATCAAAGGCCCTGGGAGCAGCAGCCATGTATGAGGTGCTGTGTTATCAGTTAACCGTTTAACTGATACAATTAGAGGAGGTTAAACAGATAATTTTTTTAACGATATTTACAACCCTAGTTTAAACCTGCGTCTGTGTCTCATAATTTAGGATACAACTGGAAGCCTTTAAAAACAACCTTTTATATTAATGTATTATTAGGGATATTATGTCATAGTATAACTGTAATACTTAACAATGGTACATTCAGATACTGGTAAAAGAAAAACTGACAATTTCTTAACTGCTTTCCCCCAAAATGGAAAACCTATAAAACGACCTTAAAGTATTGATGAAAGACAAAACCCCAAATAAAAGAGGACGGAGACAAAAGTCTTTGTTCCTTAACCTACCATGTTCTGTCATATGATTTTATATAAGTTACTTGCTATAATGACTACAATAAGTACACTGTGGTTAGGTATAGATAGCTTTTCCACCACAGGCTTTGTATTTTTGGACTGAATTTGGACTCTTATCACTATTGTTTCACTTTTCAGTGGCTGATTTTTTTTTCTTAAAGATTCAGTAGGGTCACTTCTGGTGATACCATCCTGTGATTCCACCTGAATGGAATGGATGAGTTGAGCCATCTCGCTCTATACCACCATTCTCCATGTTACATTGCAACAGGGTCTCACTAACCCTTGTGTCTACCTTTTTACTGCTCCCTTCCACACCTTTCAACTGGATGCAACAGAACAAGCATTTGTTTTGCTGTCAGACCTACAATCTGTCATTTCTTTATTTCAATTCACTATATACTTGTCTTTAAGTTAAAAGTTCCTCATTAAAGCATTGAGAAATAAGCTTTGGAATAAAAAAATAATGGATGCTTCAAAAATCAGTCTTTGACTTCCTGGAGTGAACAGTCTTTTGCTTTGTTAACTCTAGTTTTAAGAAGATTGCATTTCAGTTTTCCACGCAATGTCTGTTATTCTATAGGAAGAGAACCATGCCCAGCATCAGGAGTTATTCAACATCTTACCTTGGAATGCTGGGAGGAGCCCGTGTTGGCCGGGATGGAACCTGAGGAGGTGCTCCAAGGGCTTCACTGCTGCTAGGAAATGGGGGTAATGGTCCTGGACGGAACGGGACTGGTGGAGCCCCTGACTGAGGGCCTGGAGATGGGATTGCTGGAGCAGGTCCTCGGCCAGGTAAAGGTCTGGTTGGGGGATTATTTAAGGTAGGCCTCCTCTGAGTTGAAGGACTTGGAGGAGGTGATCTAGTGAATAATCAGAGATTAATGAAGATCTACACACTTTTTACATGGAATCCAGAAACTCCCTGACATCTCTAGCCATCTTCTGAATGTTTTCCTCTGCTCTTATATTGTTTTAGTTCTACAGGGCATAATTTAAGCAACCCCGTATTGCACAGATCTGGTATTATGTACTTGCAATAATGCTTTTTTGGATTATCTTTTCCATGCTCTCATCCATTTCTAATCACTACTCAGAGCTGCTTCAGATTCTTAAAAGAATGTCTACTGTTTTGTTAAATGCTATCAACCCCTTAACCACAAAACTTAGACAACACCCAACAGTCCCGTAGGGAGTAGCTATTATAATGGTCAGAAGCAGATGTACAATTGCAAATGTCAATATAAAGGGTTTAGTATCATTAGTATTCTACCACTATTTTATTAAGTTAATTTATAGGGAAGGATATTCCATGTCTTTAAGGAAACCATAAGTAAGGAGCACTGAATTCTCACAATTGCTTGTAAGCAGAACCAAAATTAGACAAAGGATTTGGGTTAGATTTTAAAAATGGGACTGCCAGAGCATGGAAAATGGAAGTTAAAACTCCTAAAAATACAGGGAACTTTAAATGGGAGAGTGTAAGCGATCACATGGTTTGCACTACTTTGCAAGCACATCAAGTAAATAGAGGATCAGCCAAGTCACAAAGTATGCCACACAGTCTTCTGAGAGTCAAGGACAAGGTTACTAAGAACCTCTGTTGGTGTGTATATTAACCAACAATCCTATAAACCACTCTGGCATTTAGTTGCCTAACATATATGTGTGGAAGAATTTTGGACAAAAAATATCCTGCAGGCAGATCTGGAGATACAAACACCAAATTGCAGATATTTTGGTGCTAAAGAGATCACAGTAGCGACTTGGAAGCCAAATCTGGATGATGAATCCCACAGCTATGTCAGAATACTAGGTTCTCAACATATCAGAAACAGCAATGCCAGCTGAAACAGAACTAAATACCAAAACATCTCAGACAGAGACTTTATAAGTGCACTTTTCCCCATGTCCCCTCTAGAACAGAATAGGAGACTTGGAGTGAAGCCTGGTGGTTTGACTGGAAAGAACACTCATTTAGGCAGAGAAGAATTTTGAGCACACTGGTATTTAAACCCAGTTTACTTGAGAGATTCTTGGGTTTGCCCAGTAAAAATAACATACCTGCATGATCTCCAGTCCTCAAGTTTGGTAGGGAGGCAAAAGGGAGGTGGGGGGAATGACAAAACTCAGAAAGACCCAATCTTGCAAGAACTTTCAGTTTCTTCAGAAATGTCCCTAAACATGGAGGAACACTTGCCCTACATGGGAAATCAGTAGTTCTGAGAATCTGTTCCTCTGTCTTAATCTTCATAGCAAACTCAACCTGAAGATCCTTACCTTCTGGATTGCTGCAGCCAAGAATCATCAACAGGTGGCGGTGCAGGGGTAGATATAGTGGTAGTGCTAATATCGCCAATGATTGCCAGAGCTTCTTTAAGGGCTTGGTACATGCGAAGCATCTCATCTCGTCTCTGAGCCTGTTCTGCTGACTCCTCCATCAAAGTGTTTTGGTCCTCAGAGGAATACAGATGAGCCAGGAGTTCTGCATTTATGAATTCTTTTACCTGTAATATCAAACAAAAACCCCATTTCTGGCCTAGCTAGTGGAAATATGGTATAGCATGAACACAGAAGTGACAGAAACAGTACAGTGTTGCTCTTGGAACACTGTTGCACCAGAGACTATTCCAGACACATGGGAAGAATAGCAATGTGGAGATATTGGAGCATCCCTAATCAGTGCCGGAAAGAAAACATTGGAAAGAGAAGTCCAACATTTATCTTGGAAGACAGAGCTGTAAACCTCACTTCTAGGGACACAGGGACAGGTCAGCATATATCTACTCTGTCATGCACCTTGCTATTCAAACACCCAGCGAGTCGTAGGCATAGCTTCAGTGGTTTAGATAATCTTAGACAACTTGGGTTGTGGGCAGCCAGGTCTAGGAGTCACTCAGGCTTTAAGGGGCCAACCAGGGTTAGGAGGAGCATCTGGAAACCAAGTGCCAGGAAGCTGGAAGCCTGGAGGTCCAAAAAGCCAAGTTAGAAAGCTGGAGGGTTGAGCAGAGCTTGAAATCAAGGCCCAAGCCAGGTTGAGAAGCCAGGAGTTGGGTTGAGGGATGGACCAAATTAGGAAGCTGAAGGGTCAGGTAGAACACAGAGTCCAAGGGTAAGCTGGGTTGGGTAGTTGAGAGATCAGGCAGAGAGCCAACAGAGGTGCAAGCTATGAGGAACAGTGAGGTGTCTGGATAAGGGTTGAGCCTTGTTTCCCAAACACTTCCTCTTACAGCTCAGAAGTTTATATGGGAGAGAGTGAAGGGTCAGCTGACCCCAGCCAGTGACTGATGGCAGGGAGCTGATGGACAACTAGGCCCAGATGGAGGTTTGCAGCCATCTATGTCCAGCCCAAGTAATCAGCTGAGGAGGTGGCAGACTGGGGCGAGCAGCTGATCCGGCAAGCCAAGATTCTGGGTTCAAGACAATCTCTCACTCAGGTGAATGAGGAGAAACATGAATCTCCTAGAACTATACCTCTACTAGTTAAACCAGTAATTGCTTTCTGAAGTGCTGGGGAATGAGGTACTGGGAAGTTAGGAAAGTAATATCTTACTTAACAAATTTTAAGTGTGCTGAACAGCACATTTCAAAACTATATATAAGTATTGTTACTATGTATCTCTTTATAGGATCACCCTAGACTGAGACCACAGTTCATCACAGAAAGATATTTTCTGGTGTAGTTCTGCACAAAGCATTATGTGGTTCTTTTGCCTTCCTTTGAGGCATATGACATTGGATGCTATTGGAATGATCTATATCTGTAAAGTGACCCCTGTGTTTCCACCTTATTTCATACAAACTTCTAAACTGCTGATAGGTAGTAACAACATTTTTGGCCCATTTGCAAATGGGTGACCTGGAGGTAAATGACATTACCAATCTCATGAGCCCTCTAGTTCTCTTAAGAATGGGGGCTTCTATATTTTTATAATTTCTCTTTCAGAATTACGTTTTAACTAACATTTCACCTACTGTTCATCACATCTTTCACCTCTAGCAACTTTGTGTGATTCTGAATCCCCAAAAATACACATTATAGAGCTGAAGAGAGAAGTCCCGAAGTAATCTAATTTACTATACCAATTTCCTGATATGCCAGCTCTGATTATGGAGACCTGGGACACATTAAGACAGCTAAAAAACTAGAAGTATTCTGATTAAATAAGGCTGTAGTTAAACACACTGAGAAATCAATTGCTGACCAATCCTTGCATTTGAAAATCTTTTGGGATTTTTTCTGTTCTTTGGATCTGTTGCTAACCTGCTTTTAGCTCTATAGCACTTATTTGAACTGGGAATGTTAGCAGTAATACATTCTCAAACATCTTATTTTATATGCCTGAGTTCCACTTGAAGAGGGTTTGGCACTAACACTAATTAAATTAATTTGATTTAAAAATCTATTATAGTGACATTGGAACAACTTTGGGTAGATAAGACCCAAGACAGCAGTCTCATTGAAGAAGAATTAGGATCCTCCAAGTCACATCTGACCCCGGTCCAGGAAACACTTGGTTACTAGAAACCATTGTCATTTCCCATTCGTGTTCAACAGGAGATACATGAATTCATCAATATATGCAATTTTTTGCTATGAATCTCATGTTGTTTTTCAGTGAATATTACTGATCAAATGTCAAATGCCAGAGGACACTATTTTCCTAACCTTTTCCGGAACCTCCACATTAAAAAGAGATATCTTAGTTAGATAATGTGAAATTATATTGAATAAAATGAAAATTCAAATAGTATCACTTAAAAAATTCTCAAATTCAAGTAAGGGTAGAGCTGATCCTAAAAGAACAGTTAGGCATCAACAGGTGCACGCACTGCACCACCCCTCCTTTTGCCTCACAGTGCTAACCTGGGGCTTGGGGCTGGCAACACTCCTACCCCTTGAGCAGTGAGCAGGGAAAAGCCTGGGACGGTGAGAGCATGGTTGGGGTTTACATCCCTCCCTAATTAGAGCATCCTGCTGGGGTCTGGCCTTGCCCCCCCTCAGCTCAGCACTATGGAAGGGAAGGGAAGGCTATTCTAGTACCGCCCCCACAGCTTCTAGTCTGAGCCCTAGCAGGCATATGCCAGCATTTCTTCAGTCCAGAAGGGATGTCCATGTAGTTGCAAACCAGTTCAGCCTAGGCAGGTTAGACTAACCTGCAAATATTGAATCAATTCAGGCTCAGACTTTTTGAATGTCTGTCCCTAGCCTTAGACCACAAATATCTGTTTGAACAGTATCAGCCTGCAAGTGTTATCATGGTAGCTCCTTGTGCATTGCAAGCAAATCTCCTTTCATGATTGCTGAAACCCTACTGTAATGGCAGAATCACTGCCATTAGGAAGCTGGCCCATGATCCTGGCTTACAATCAGGCCAGAAATATGGGTTTTCCATACTTGTGAGTTTGAGGCTTGGAAAAGGAGGAAGAAATGATCTCTTTGCAACCTAAGGTCCTTCCAGAAAACAAAAGCAAAATTATAGCAATAGTTTAAAAAGTGTCCCCCGAAGGTTTCAAAGTTGCAATGTACAGAATTATAAGGTGGGAAGGGACCTTGAAGGTCAGCTAGTCCAGCACTGTACAGCTATAGCTATGTTATTCTTAAACCACCCCAGAGAAATGCCTATACAACCTTTTCTTGATAACCTCCAGAGAAAGAGATTCCACCCTTTCCTTTGACAACTGGCTTCTCTGTCTTATTGTTCTTACAGAAACATAGCAGGTATTTTAAGTGCCCAGTAGCACAGTTCCTAGCTCAACAGGACTCTAACATGGAGGGACAACAAGTCAGAGTGGGCTCGATCTATAAGGGAGTATCTGAGGGACAGCTCAGCCAATCATGAATGAAGTTACCACTTTAGCTGGAGTTAAAAGAGCAGTCATGGAAATTAGCCAGAGGGAGGCCAGAGCTACTACTACCATGAATTTACCATCAGTAATTATTATACAGTATTTTTCATAACATTAAAGATTTATGTTAATTTAGAGTCAGCTCACCAGTGCTGCTTATAGAATACATGATATCTAGTGTACTGTATTAGAAACACCTAGGCACAATGAGACCTGAATTATAGTGCCATGAGGCCTTCAAACAACTAGCGGAAGGAAGTTTCCAAATCACAGGCTCTCATGGGGGACTTCAATCACTCTGACACCTGCTCGGAGGGCAATACTGCAGTGCGCAGGCAATCGAGGAAGTTTTTGGAGTGTTAGAGAACTTCCTGGTGCTATCAGGATAGACCAACTAGGGGTCGTGCTCTTCTTGACCTACTGCTCACAAACAGAGAAGAACTGGTGGGGGACGTAGAAGTGGATGGCAACATGAGCAGCAGTGACCCATGAGATGATTGAGTTCAGGATCCTGACAAAAGGAAGAAAGGAGAGCAGCAGAGTATGGACCCTGGACTTCAGAAAAGCAGACTTTGACTCCCTCAGGGAACTCATGGGCATAACCCCCTGGGAGGCCAAGCTGAGAAGGAAAGGAGTCCAGGAGAGCTGGTTGTACTTTAAAGGAACCTTACTGAGGGCGCAGGAACAAACCATCCCAATGTGCAGAAAGAACAGCAAATGTGGCAAGCAACTAGCCTGGCTTAGCAGACAACTCTTTAGTGATCTTAACACAAAAAGGAAGCTTACAAGTGGAAGCTTAGACAAACAGCTTGGGAGGAGTGTAAGAATATTGCCTGGGCATGCAGGGATGAAGTCAGGAAGGCCAAAGTACAACTGGAGTTGCAGCTAGCAGGGGATGTGAAGGGTAACAAGAAGGATTTCTATATGTATGTCAGCAAAAAAGAGGAGGATCAGGGAAAATGTGGGACCCTTATTGAATGGGTGATGCAATGCTGTGACAGATGATGAGGAAAAGGCTGTAACACTCAATGACTCTTTTACCTCAGTCTTCACAGGCAAGGTCAGCTCTCAGACTACTGCACCTGGCAGTACACTTTGTGAAGAAGGTGAGCAGCCCTCAGTGATGAAAGAACAAGTTACAAAGAGACTACTTAGAAAAGCTGGATGTGTTTGAGTCCATGGGGCTAGATGCAATGCATCCAAGGGTGCTAAGGGAGTTGGCTGATGTGGCTGCAGAGCCACTAGCCATTATTTTGGAAAACCTATGGCAACTGGGGGGAGGGTGGTCCTGGATGATTGCAAAAGGGCAAATATAGTGTCTATCTTTAAGAAAGGGAAGCAGGAGGGTCCAAGGAACTGCAGACCAGTCAGCCTCACCTCAGTTCCTGGAAAAATCATGGAGCAGGTCCTCAAAGAATCCATTCATCTGCACTTGGAGGAAAAGGTGATTATGAACAATCAGCATGGATTCACCGAGGGCAAGTCATACCTGACCAACCTAACTGCCTTCTATGATGAGATGACTGGCTCTGTGAATGCAGGAAATGCAGTGGACATAATATACCTTGACTTCAGCAAGGATTTTGAGACCTTCTCCCACAGCATTCTTGCAAGGAAGCTGAGGAAATATGGGTTGAATGAATGGACGGTATGGTGG